GTTGTTAAGGCCAGAGCCCATTCCCCCTGGCCCTACCACTACAGTCCCTAATGAAGAGTCCCTCCCCAGCATCCTTGGAGGCCCCCTTCAGATACTGGAAGGCTGCTATGAGGTCTCCACGCAGCCTTCTCTTTTCCAGGCTGAACAGCCCCAACTTTCTCAGCCTGTCTTCATATGGGAGGTGCTCCAGCCCCCTTATCATCCTCATGGGCTCCTCTGGACTTGCTCCAACAGCTCCATGTCCTTTTTTATGTTGAGGACACCAGAACTGTAAGAAGTTATGGAATTAACCACCATTAAGTAGACAATTTCAGAAACATTTGTACAGATGTGGAGAGAAGAAATATTTTAGTGAAAGGTAAGTTCCATTCCAATCAGGTATTTTCTATCAGTTAACATGCCTGGAGGAGGCATGCTGGGGAGGGACTCTTCATTAGGGACTCTAGTGGTAGGACAAGGGGGAATGGCTTTAAACTTAAACAGGGGAACTTTAGGTTAGATATAAGGAAGAAGTTCTTTACAGTGAGGGTGGTGAGGCACTGGAATAGGTTGCCCAAGGAAGTTGTGAATGCTCCAACCCTGGAGGCGTTCAAGGCCAGGCTGGGCAACATGGTTTAGTGTGAGGTGATCCTGCTCATGGCAGGGGGTTGGAACTAGATGATCTTAAGGTCCTTTCCAACCCTAACTATTCTATGATTCTATGGAGATCAATTTTATACTGCTGACACTGTGCTTGTCTTGATTCTGCACAGTATTTAATACAACCCTGAGTGAGGGAGAATTTGCATTTCACTTTTCTTAATGGTTTCACTTTATAATTTATCAGGATTCTAAAAATCTAAACTTTTAATTAGAAATTAAAAAATACAGGATATACAAACCCCAAGTGACTGGTATCCAGTGATTGTGAAGTGGCCCCGAAAACAGGTACTTTTCCCATAATGAACATCATAATCTCTGATCTCTGGTAATCTGGGAGATTGCTTCCAAAAAATCCTAAATAAAAATGCAATATAATCATACATAAAAGACATATAGGGTCCTTCTCTTTATAAGAAAAGCCTTATAAATACAAGGAACACATTAACAAGATCAAAATGGATGAAGAATGAAACTATGGTTTATTTTAGTGGGTTTGGGTTGATGGCAAGTTGAGTATAAGCCAACAGTGTGCCGTAGCAGCCAAAAGGACCAATCATGTCCTGGGGTGCATCAAGCACAGGATCGTTAGCTGGTTGAGGGAGGTGATTGTCCCACTCCACACTGTGCTGGTGTGGCCCCACCTTGAGGACTGTATGCAGTTTTGGGCACCTCGAAATAAGAAGGACATCAAAACAGTAGAGTGGGTCCAGAGGAGGGCAACCAAGATCGTGAAAGGCCCCAGGGCAAGACACAGGAGGAGCAGCTGAGGTCACTTGTTCAGCTTGGAGAAGAGAAGGCTGAGGGGTGCCCTCATCGCAGCCTACTCCTTCCTCATGTGTCTGTGGAGGGGAGGGACTGATCTCCTTTCTCTGGTGACCAGAGACAGGAAACAAGGAATTGGGATGAAGCTGCATCAGGGGAAATTCAGATGGGACATTAGGAAAAGGTTCTTCACCAGAGGGTGTCCGGTGACTGGAACAGGCTCTGCAGGGACATGGTCACAGCACTGACCCTGTCAGAGTTCAAGGAGTGTCTGGATGACGCTCTCAGTCATATGGGTTAGTTTTAGGTAGTCCTGCGAGGAACAGGGATTTGGACTTGATGATCCTGATGGGTCCCTTCCAATTTAAGGTATTCTGTTTTATTCTATCACTATGCAGTAGTATGAATGTCACTTTGACAGAAAGCAGCTTTCCTTTAAAAGGTTGGGTTGTGGGTTTTGGGGGATTTGTTTGGGGAGTGGGAGGTTAAAGTTTTAACTTAGAGTTTTACTATAATGGTGAAAAACAATTTACTATATACTTGCTATTGGCTGTAGAAAGTTTCATGTTATAAGCAACAGTACAGATTAGTGAACAACATTGAAGTTACATTCCCCGTTGTTCTTTAAGTAAGGGAACACATATCATCAATGCACTGCAAAATATATCACTACCACCAAGAGAAAATCTGAAAAAAGGGGAGAGGCAATTTTAATGAAATCATTTACAGAAACCGTTGCTCTTATTCTCAGTATTGTGCTAAGTACTTCAGTGAAGTCGTGGTAGCACAACCAGCCATTAGGTGTCATTGTTGTCACTATGTTTAACATGGGTTTGCACAAATTTTCAAGCAACACCTACAAAAATATATTACTGTATGATTGCTTGCAATATGATTTTTATAAAAGGACTGTTAGTTCTGTACCCCTGAGACAGAATGATGTCTATATTTCAAGTGCTATATAATAATATAACCAACAAGTTTATTGTAAGTCCACAAGCATTTTTAATTTTCACTGAGCTTCTTGCCTATCTGCTCAGTCAACAATTAAAAGAACAGTTTTCAGAAGTCAAATGCATAAAGCAAGCCTCAGATTTAGAGGCAAATCCAATCAGAGGTACCATACTCACCATTATTCCTTTTTGAGTCAAGCTGGTTTAATACCATCTCATTGAGGAAGGCGCAGAAGGGGAAGAATTTTAAATGAACCCATGTTACTGTCATCACTCACCAATTGTTTGGATAATAGCATTTTGGACAATCCTTTCATCACTCTCCTTGGAGCTTGTGCTGAAAGTGGCACTTCCCGCTGAACTGCGCCTATCACCCAGCTCAAAGTCAACGCTGATTCGCAAGTGCTTCAACAAGGTGTTAAAAACCTCCAGAACTGTTGGGCCTGGAAAAACCCACACAACAATGATCGCAGCTGTCAAGGGAAAGGTGCCTTAAGAAAATGAAAATCAATTCTTTCAATCCCTTTTCAGGAGAAATCAGATTAAGCTGAAAACAACAAATGAAATTCACTGTCTGAGGGATATAGCCTGGGGTTAAGCTTTTGAAGTGTGCCTACACCTTGATATTTGAGAAATTCATTTGGAATCAGGAAATGCAATCAGGTGTATATGCATAATCCATTACTATCAAGTTGTAGTGAGTCTGGCTAGGATGGAGTTAACTTTCTTCCTCACAGCCTAAGTGGTGCTGTGCTTTGGGTTCATGACTAAAATATTGCTGACAACACACCAGTGTTTTGGCTGTTGCTGGACAGTGCTAGCAAGTGTCAAGGCTTTTTATTGTCCCCATTCTGTCCCTACAGAGTAGGCTGGGTGTGCAAGAAACTGGGAGGAGACACAGATGGGCCAGCTCACTCAAACTGACCAAGGGGCTATTCCATACCATGCAGTATGTTCAGCAGTAAGAGCTCAAGGAAAGGTAAAGGAATTGGGGGACACTTGTTCTTATGGCATTTGTCTTCCAAAGTAACCACTCTGCATGCTAAGGCCCTGCTTTCCAAGAAGCAGCTAAATATCTGCCTGTCAGTGGGAAGTACTGAATAAATTCCTTTGCTTTCTTTGTGGATGCAGTGTTTGCTTCACTCATTGAACTGTCTTTCTCTTGATCCATGAGACTTGTGACCTTCTATGTTCTCCCTGTCCTGTGGGAAGGGGGTGCAAATGACTGTAGGCTGGAGGCAGCTCACCCTGTCAGTTTTACACAGAAAATAAGAGTGGCTGCTGCAATTAAGCATCACTACTGTGTTAAACTCCTGGTACTTGCACCTGAATTTCAGTTATTTCAAAACCTGCTACTGAAATCCAGTTCTGTGTGTTGGATCAAATACTTAGCTCTTTTCATAATACAGTAAAAGACTTCACAAGTCAGAATCATGAAATTGTTTGGGTTGGAAGGAACCTTAAAGCTCCTCCAGTTCCACCCCCCTGCCATGGGCAGGGACACCTTCCACTAGAGCAGGTTGCTCCAAGCCCCTGTGTCCAACCTGGCCTTAAACACTGCCAGAGATGGGGCAGCCACAACTTCCCAGGGCAACCTGTGCCACTGCACCTCACCACCCTCACAATAATGAGTTTCTTCCTAATGTCATATCTAAACTTACCCTCTGTCAGTTTAAAGCCATTCCCCCTTACCCTATCACTACATGCCCTCGTAAAAAGTCCCTCCCCAGCTTTCCTGTAGGCCTCTTCAGGCACTGGGAGCTGCTCTAAGGTCTCCCCAGAGCCTTCTCTCTTCAGGCTGAACAAGCCCAGCTCTGTCTGCCTGTGTTCACAGAAGAGGTGTTCCAGCCCTCTGATCACACCTCTGACAGGTCTGTGCATGCAAGTGGATCTTGTATTAGGAGAAAGAACAGGCTCAGACTAATGAAGCAAAGCATTCAGCAGGAAACTAAGGAAAACAGCAGAGCACACGTGCGTACACATCGTCATAACTACTCTCAATTCAAGGAACTATGTTTCCTTACATGACAAAATTCACCCTATCAGCTGCTTCACAGTTACAAAGGTAAAGTTGCACAAAGATCATTCTACTCTTGACTCTGTTATTATCACTCATCTCTCAGCAGCTGTACCACAAAGTGACAGCACTCTTGACATTTCATAGTCACACACAGCTCTGTCCGACTTTGTGATTTCCTACCAAACAGGAGTTCCTGCCTTTCACAAGGCTGTAAAAATGCATCTACTCATTTTCCATGCAAAGGATTAAAAAACCAGTGAAACAACCAAGTAAATACATTTGAGTAGCTGTAAACCAAGTAAGAGTTCAAGCATTTTATCAGCACAAACGAATAAAAACTAATGCATACATAACCTTCTCAAAATATATGCTTTCATTCAGTCTGAGAACAAAGCAAAAATAAGCACCACCCTTCAGATACATCCTTTGACCTGATGACTAATTGAAGACAACTTACCTATTGATCCTTTGGCTGCTATTGCAACTGCTTCCAAAAGAACCTGAATAATGCCAGCACGAACTCGTGGCGAGTCTCTTTTGCGAACATCAAGGTGTCCCAGAATTTCTTGTATTACATGATGGGAATATTGTGCCTATTAACAACCAAACAAACAGAAAAAAACCCTTCATCTGTGACTTTAATAAGAATAAACTCATACACCATTCAGCCACAGTCACAACCAATGTTCCTATTCTGCAACATTCTTACTCAGAAATTTATCTGGATTTCAATCAATTCATGATTAAATATAGGTTTAAAAAACTACCATGACAGATGAAGCCATCTAGCCCAGCGTACAAAAGCTTACAGTATTAAAATATCCAGGAACATCTAACAAGAACAGAGGAGGCCTGAAGCAGTACTTCATTCAGCTAACTGCAGTCCAGGGCCTTCAGCTGCTCTTATGAAAAAGCGCCATTGACATAAACACTGAGAAAACTCAAGATTTCTTCCCCAAACCTGCAGTTTCATGACTCTATCTTTTGGGTGTCTGTGCTTGATGCAAGTCATGAATCAGACTTTGATCATGTTTGTAACAGAAAATAGAGGTTGCCCACTAGTGAAAATCAATTAGCACAGCACAGTTCCATGTGATGTTGGATTCTTGTGTTGTAACACCAGGACAGCTGTGTTGGCATGGAGGAATGACCACCTTAAGAGAGATTAATTTATCAAGCACAATGTCAGGTCAGCATGACTACGCATCTCCCTGTTCTGAGCTGGCTGAAGGACCTCCACACTACCTTTCATTAAGAATTCCTTCATATCTTTTCTTCAAGTGTGCAGTAATTGAAAGTAAATCAGACAAAATCTCATCACAAACCATGATTAGGTTATTATTTGAACAGTGTTAAGAATAAGGCTGAGTTATGGAAAGGCATCTTTTGAATTGCTTTATTTAATCTATTATCTATCACTAATTGTGGTGAGGTGAGCATTTAAACCTGTCTCGTGCTCAAAACATGTACATTAGGGAAAAAAAAAAACCCCTTGGAGAAAAACCTACCTGTATAGAATACATGATGATTTTGAAGCAGGAAACAGCAAATTCGTTGGGATCCCATAGTCTATGATGGTCTAAATGCCTGAAACCAAAAATTAAGGGACTTGAAATAACGACATTCCACATATGGAAAAAATGGCATCTTGAAATTTTCCCAAAATTCATCTCAAATGGATTATTTACTTACATAAAGCTTCAAAACAAGAACTTCAGGTAAGAAAACTACAACTTCAGAAAAGCATTTGTTTTCAAGGTTTAGGATGTGGTCACAAAATATTTCACTGTAACTGAAATTCCTGATCTTCCAGTTTTGGGAATTTAAGGAACCCAGTCATATCAAAGATAGACAGTTAAGAATATACTGTTTCCATACCAAATGTATGCATAAAAATGGCTGTGACATTATATGCTTATTTACATGAAAGAGAAACACTGAAGAAGATGGTTATAACACATTGACAAACTTCTACTCTAAATAACTAATTTGTTTTGAAGCAGGAGCTACAAAATAATTATGACTGAAAGTTACATTCAGAATAGAAACTCTAAGAATTCTTTTCATTTTCACAGTGGTTTCATGAATAATATATATGGAAACCAAAAATGAGCTACTCCGTGTGTATATACTCCTTTAACACTCTGAAGCATTTCAACACTTTCTGCAAGAATTTTCCAAACAGAATCAGAATGATAAATGCATCAGTTTCTCTTTAAATGGAATAGGAGCCACCAATGAAACACTGTCAGAGCTTCAAGCAGAGGGAAATTCTGCTTAAGCACTATGCTGAAAGCTATGAGTAGGGCAGACACAAAATCTTCCAAAAAGGAGATCTAAGGAACTAGAAAAGCATGACAAAAATTAATGCTTATTTAAATCTTGGAGTCTGAAAAAGGTAATTTTGGATGCCTTTTAATTGGTAAAATTTAGGTTAAAACCCCCCAAACACAAGTGAAAACCAAACACACCAACAAACAAAAAATAATAATCAAACTGAAACAAAACCAACCAAAACCTTTCGTACAGAAACTGAATTTGTCTTTCTAAATAGGAATCTCAGCTGCAGAATCACTACTGGTCTGCCCTTTCTCAAGAGAGCAGAACAAACATATAAAGATGCTTCAAATAACAGATTTGAAAGCATACAGGTGAAAGAAGCCTCTGAATGCAGGAGGACAGACTGGATGCTTAACTTATTTTGTTTAGAATCTGGAGGTCTCCACTACCTCACTGGCCAGCTGCTACCAGCCTAGTGACCTAGTTGAGTACACAGGTCTCCTTCAAGGTTGATTAAACCAGCTGGCATAAAGCCACCCTCCACTGTGCCCTAAATTATGCTGCAGTCCATTGTAGAGCTTAAAAATATATACAGCCATTTTGACACACTACGTATCTTTAAATAGAAATCCCTACAAGAAAGAATTCCAGGAATATTAAAGGTGCTTGTCTGCCAAGGTAACAACATATTTGCATTACTAAACATTAAGGTGGACTACCTGTCGGGGATAGCTGCCTTCCTTGTGCACATGTCAAACACACAGGTACATTTAATCCTGCCTTGGGGTAGAAAGACAAACAAAATCACCTCTTTAAATCCTTCAAGGCTTAGTGGTTCATCATGTATTTATTCATATCTTCTTTCTCCCTAATATCATTCCAGTACACTCCATCACTTCTTGTGGATGATAGCTTATTTTAGCTAACCTATTTTATTTTTGTCTCACCAAACACAAAATCATGCTCTCCACCAGCTTCCCCTGATTACAGCTGAAACTTCAGTCTTTCAGGGTGGCACATGTTCTCTGTTACCTCTTTATCTGCCCCAAAGATTCACTCAGGCTGGCTATGGTCAAGATTATTGGGCAAATTATATAACTTACGTCAAGTTTGGTTTTTTTCTTCTCCAAACAAGACACAAAGTTTTTCTTTTCCAGATACGCAAAGAATTAGCTGCATCATGTACATGAACTGATGGGGAGACAGAAGGGGGAAGATGACAGCCCAGGTTAATGTTTTGTGTAGTAGCTCAATGGGCAGCATGCTTTGTATACTGGAATTTTCCTTCTAAGAAAAGCAGTACTAAATTACTGTAGGTGATATATTTTACTCATCAGAATGCAGGCAGTGTATGCAATGTAGTTTTGCTTTTGTAAAGACAGTTAATGCTATTTTGAGCATGCTGCATTTAGTTTAGTTAAAAATCAAGTCACATCTTGCCTAATTTTCTTTTCCAATTACATTTCTTTTAACAAAAAATATCTACGTGAGACTGCAAAACATTTTATTGCTGGATTAACAAATGCCAAACTCTGCCTTCTATTAAGATCTGCTGCACATATGTAGCAAATGTGCACAATTGTGTTTCTGAAATTAAAAGGAACAGCAGAAGCAATGGTGCGCGTAACTGCTTTATAGAGTGAGAGCCACAAACAGTCTGAATTCAACTCACTTTCACACATGCAAGCAATCCTTGCAGTACAAAGTGATAAACTGATACTGGTGATTACAAAGTAGAAGTGAGGCATGCATGGAAATGTATGAAATACTCTTCTCATGCACTATGTTTGCTAGAAGAATACTAAACACCAGTCTTCTGATATTCAAAACCCTTGCACTGATGATTTGATAACTCACAAGAATGGTAAAATACAGTAAGATGAATAGGGTACAACTTGTTATACTTGGGAAGTTGTTTATACTCACTGTATCCCCCTGGATCTGCCTAATGTATTCATCATTGCAAATTCATGCTAAATAGCTTGTGACTGCTGACACAAAATACAGATTTTTTTCATCTCATATTAATATGAAAATTTTGACTTTCATTAAGCAGTTTGACAGATTGATCTGTCAGATTTCACTAAAAAATGGGAATTTGTGACTTTCCACATGTAGACACTTCTAACCATGGAGATTTTCTGCCAAAGGCAAGGAGAATTAAAGTCAATCCAAACCCATACCAGGAGACCAAGTCCAGATTTCAAATGTTTTTATTACCCTCAATCATGAAGCAGCAGTACTGTTCTCCCAGTTCTGCAAGGAAGTAATGGCACGTGGACTGATCATAGAATGGTTTGGGTTGGAAGGGATCCCAAAGTCACATTAAGGAAGCCTTCAAGTGAGGAACTGAAACTGCATCTTCATTGTTAGCACTGTAATAAGTGGCCTTATCTTTATTTCAATAGCTTTCTTAAAAACAGTGAAATTGTTGAAAACTGTTAGGAGAAACTTTCTTCTAAGCAAATATGCACAAACTAAGTCAGGTTTTTCAATTGGATAAATTTCAATGAACTCACTATCTCAAACTTCCACTCTACCAGTTCTGCTCATTCACAGTGCGAAGCTGATTATATAGAGCACGCCCTTTCTTGGTTAGGAAAACCAGCTTGGGAATTGCATATCCTGCATCTCATATTCTTCAAAAATACTAAACCTTTACAGCAGATATTTATAAAAAGATAAATTTATTTGGGAATTCTTCCTCAAACTGGAACAGAAAAATGGTAACCACAAAGATCCTATGTTCATAAAAGAAATAATACATTCTGAGTAACTGGTCATCATCTCCTGATTTCAGCTCACAAATACAGCATGCAGTTCCCTCTACTGGCAGGTATTTTGGAGAAATGCAAATTCTACATGCAGAAAGGATGAAAATCTATTAATAAAGCACTCAACGTTACAACAGTCAGACTCCTATTAGACTGGTATAATAGGTACACATGGAAAGTAATATAACAGCACAGTTCTTTGCATTTAATGCTTTTGGGTGAAAAACAAGGGGCTACAAAAGTTTTCTGTGCTCAGTACCTACCCTACCTTCTTTTTGCATTTCTGTTCTTACTTAAAAGTAGTAATTGTAACTAGTATGTAGCTAAGCAGTAAAAGGGCTTTTGGAATCTTGAAAGCCTTTCAGTGTATGAATGGAATCTTAAAGTTTTTGCCGGAAGAACTAGGCTATCTAAGAGCAGATATGCCCATAACAGGTGGGTATCTTGAAAATCTACAAGAAGGAGCAAGCTGCTCTCCTCCTCACCAGGAAAGGCCAGGGTCTGAAATCTGTATCACTGAGTTTAGAGCTTCCTGTAAAGATTTCTCTTGAGAATATGCCTACTTTGTACATGTCAGAGGTAAAAGAAGCAGATTTAAGTTATCTCAGTGCTTGTAGCTTTTTCCACATCATATTTTTTAAGGAAGCAACTGGGACAGAGAACTGAAAAACACTGGACTTGATAGTTAACACATTAGCTATAATTTGTGCTGTGTGTGTTTGTGCATAATGTCCCTACTGTGTGTACATCTGCCGTTCATGACTAAATGAGCTGTTAAAAGATATTCCTCACAGAATATCAAAACAGGTCTTGGAAGAAAACTGCAAAAAAGTAGAAATCTTAACTTTATGTATTAATCCAGGCACAGTGTTTGCTTGTGCTACATGTATTTTACTTGGCTTGTCTCTTCACTGACTGCAACAGTCATCTATGGGATGTTAATATCTTGAATTAACAGTTCCACAGCCAAAAGAAAGGCCAGCTGAGGCAACAACCCCTCCAAATCATTACATTGCACTTGTAAAGTCAGTAAAATGGAAACCACATTTCTCCATAACTATCTTCAAGTTGATAAGAAACTAAGAGTTGAGATTAAGAGAGAGGCAATTTCTTGAATAAACATGAATGGAATCCTTTAGGTTGAAAAGGATGAAGGAATTTCATGCAACATAACCAGAGGATGAAATAAAAAGAAAGTCTCAAGATAAGACCTTCTGTGAATTTTCAACTTACGCAAAAACTGGTCTGACAGCATTATTCATATTTCCATAGGTTGCTCGTCCTAGTAGCTCCCTGAAGCAGTTCTCAGCCAGCAGAGCAGGATTTTCCTCTTTCTCTCCTCCTGTAGGTGAGGATGGAGGGCCTACTCTGCTGAAGTAAGACAAGCATACATTGATTTTACTACTGTACCCACCCTTGGTTCTACAATATTCATGAGTCACGCTTTTAATCTAGGCAAAAACTGTTATCTCAAATACGCATCAAAGCAGAATTCAGAATAAAATACTTTATTCTCTTGCAGCAGGACTATAAATCATCGTCTCTCCACTCAGTAGTGATCACTGTATTGGTAAATATTTATATGGCAAAACCAATGGCTGTTAACACTGATTTAAGTTGTTACCCACTGCATTTTACAAACTATAAACCATTGCTAACGATGAAAGCTATGAAACCATGTAAAAAGTTAGGCAGAATCTTAAGTCATTTGTTCAGACTAATGATCTCATTCACCTGCCCACTACTGAATCCATACTGTGTGGGTGAGTGTTAAATAAATCTCCAATACTTCTGCAGGAACAGATGGCTTATGAGTTGAAAAATGTCTGATTGAACTGATTAGAACATTATCACCCACACAGTTACCTCTAACAAGACTTGCAGAAGTTAGTCACCTTCTAACTGTCCACAACATGACTATGGAGAGGATTGTCTGTGCACTGGCACAGGTTGCCCAGAGAAGCTGTGGCTGCCCCATTCCTGGCAGTGCTCAAGGCCAGGCTGGACACAGGGGCTTGGAGCAACCTGGTCTAGTGGAAGGTGTCCCTACCCGTGGCAGGAGGTTGGAACTGGATGATCTTTAAGGTCCTTTCCAACCCAACCCATTCCATGATTCTATGAATAAAAAACAATTAAAAAAGATGACACGATGGAAGGGAGTGGAAAAAAGCCATGAGTAAGGGAAGAATTTATTACACAGCTACTATTTCTTCAGTTGCTACAGTACCCCAACGAATGACTTCAAGTAAAATATTTTTTCTTAAGTCAGAAGGAATTAAAATCAGCATTTAAATATCAACTTCATTTCATATGGAAATTTCAACTTAGGAGTTTAATAAAACGTGCTGTGCAAAGAAAGGCTTGAATGTTTTATACTAATGATCAAATAGCAACTATTAAACTTTTGTAAGGTTCAAATACTGCCATTTTCAATTATTTCTTTTCTCTCTGTGACTGGGAATCAGGCCGACTATTTAAAATCAACGTGGCTCAAAAAGAGAGTAAAACTACTGAACTAAAGACTGAATCCAGAAAAGAGAAGTTTGAATGCCAAGTTATTTTGAACAAACTAAAACCTACCATGGCCCGAATTCTATCACTGAGTTTTGAAGCCAACAGTCTCACCTTGGAACAGCAAAGATCAGCACCCACACTGTAAACAGGAAAAGGTAGAGCCCTTCCAGAAAAGTTTCCAGTTTCCCACTTCTCATTCTTGATGCATGCAGGTCCTGGGAATGTTTTATGGCTCTTATTTTTTCTTTGGAGGGGGAGGGTTGTGGGGGTTTTGTTGGGTTTTTATTTTGTTGCTTTGGTTTTTCCTTGCCCAAATTCACTTCTTTTGTACTACACAGAGACCTGAGTTACTAGAGCAAATTAAAGGCATTTGAAATGTATTTCTAAATTAAAGCACTTCACACACCATACCATTAAACTGTGAATAATATTTCATTTAAACCGAGCAGTTGAGAGGTGGAAGACTGAAGAAGAAAGAAAACAGTTTTCCCTAAGGCACTTAAAGTACTTATCAGGAAGAACCAGCTACAGCTGGCAAGTGTTTTCTTGCACAAAACGCATTATAGAAACTTAAGTGAGGATTCATTCACTTACATTAACATTATGTATCGATGTGTTTGGAGATTTATTTTAGTCTGCAGAGATCAGAACACTAAAACTGTAAACATACTTTCAGTTCTGCAGTACAAGATTCTGCATTAAATATGTTTAGAAGCATTCACCAAGTACATCAGCTTTAGTTAATGTACGCTCCTCAGCATCCAAAACACGTAGCTTTAGAGCATTTCAACGAGTGAAATACTGAAATGCTACTAGTCAAATGAACATGTTAACATCACAGTTGTAATATCTTCTGATAGCGGAAGATCTTCTAGTGCTTCAAGACTACTGCAATCTAAAAGTTGCAATATACAAGTCCTGTTGCCTCTGGTAACATCAGTGTTTCAGAAATTACCATAACATTGCTGGCTTGTCAGATTTTAATAATAGAAAAGCCCCAGGCACCCTGTTAGACAAGTAAGGAGAAATAGATTTACAACAAATACACAATGATTAGAATTTTAAAAGGCATGACAATTTGTACATAACCCACCATGAGCACCACTACACCACAGCTTCATTCAACTGCTGTGCCCCTCAATCTCCCTATTTTTCTCTCCCTGTACTGCCTAGACTGATCCAGACAGACAGGCATCCTTCCCAGTACAGAGAAGGTACAAATAACAGCACAGGACTGTCATTCTCATTGCTGTTTTGACTCAGATTCCCAAGAGTGCATCAGCATTACAAAGGTGGGTGGGTGGAGGAAAAAAAGCAAGCAGGCTGCAGAACATACAGGGAGTCTGTCTGGAAGAATTCTGGTTAAAACACAGTAAAAATAAGTTATGTGTTAAGTGTTTGTATATGAAAACCTACAGAAGGTGGCTTCTCAGCATTGCTTGGAGTCTTATTTTGGAAGAGGTTAAAGGGAGAAATTGCAAAATCCAGTCTTCGTGAGTCTTCAGACTGCATCAGAACGTTCAAAATTGTCTCCCTTTGTAGGAATTGCCTTTTTATTTTGAACTTTTACAGCATCTACCTCTAAGTATTTCTCACTAAGACTTCCTTTAGCATTATCAGGTGGAAGGCAATGAATATAAAACTGCTTTTAACTTTCATAGTTTTAAGGAGAAGCTTTGTACAGTGTTTCAAGATTCTAAATTCAAACGAGCAACTCATTCTGTTTCACTGACTTGGCTTTTAAAGAAAGATCAGAAAACAAGGATCTGGTTTTAAAACAAAGATCTGACAAATCCAACTGCAACACTTAAATAAATAAATTACTACTATTTCTCTGCATCCAGACTTTCTGCACTACCACAAGTCCAGAGTAGTGAAACACGAATTTTTAGAATATGTTACACTTGTAATTTTTTCTGACAGTCATGTAATTAGAATGTGCATTTGGATATACAGACAAATAACAACATCCACAAATACAACTGTCTTTCTAAAATGTTGTTTAAATATTAAATTCTTAACTCCAAAAAGCGTCTCATTTGACAGGTTCTCAGAAGAATTTTGAATTAAGCTACTAAGTAAGGTTCCACGAGTAAAAATGATGCGATCTTTAAGCTAAGCTTTAACTACATATACATCAGCTTTAACCAGAAAGTGGTCATTTTCTATGGACTGAAGATGGGGGTATCTTCTGGAATTTCTGCTCTCTCAAATAGTACTTCGATTCCATCTGCCAAAACAACGTGCTTCTGACTCCTACTCTTCCAGATGCCTCTGTTTGTGCTCCACAGATATGACATCACTTACAAGATGAGAAACTCTCTGTAACATCATTTAAGGCCAGGAGATCAACAATTTATAAATACTGTTTTCAGCTTCTGTCATATGCACATCATGAGAGGCCCCTACTTGTCACTTGGAAAACCATTAGTCTTTTCTTCTGCTGAAAGTGCGTTATAGAGAAAGTTTCAAGCAGCCAGTTCAGATATTTAATTAACAGTTGTTTTTTTGACAGATTTGTTTTACTACCACCACTACTGCATTGCTCAACAAATGATAGAAATTGGTCCTGCAGTACATAGAAATTGATCTGCTTTGCGTGGTTGATCCAAATCCCATTTCAGTCAGTTTTTCCATCGGGAATTAGCTTAATTTTGCTAAATGGCCAACCTGCATGTAGAATTCCTGTAAGAACAAAGGCTAATCAGGCTCTCCTTATTCAAACAGCAGTTCCAGGAACTTTTGTCTCTCATTCAGATCACTGTTCAGATGTAAAATCCAAGCAGATATTTCTGTACGTACTGTGTGGTTCTGTGCAGTAAACAAATAAAGCGTGGACAGATAGACAACTATTGATTTTAGTTATGTCGTCTGAAAATCTGCTTTAGAGAAGAGATAGGTACTGACAGTTAGAAATATGAGAAGAAAAATAAGGCTGAAGAATGGGAAAACACACCAACCACCTAAACCCAACAAACTAAAAATGAGAAACCTGACAGATTTAGCAAGCTGAGTATCATGTGAAAGCATGAAGAGCGTGGTGGTATTAGGTGGCTGCTAAGCCTACTTACCAAGCAAGCTTTGAAGCAGCTAGGGCTGAACATGAAACAAACATTTAAGCTTCTTTGCACAGCTGAGGTTGGTTTTTGGGAAATTTCCCAGTGCTAGCAATAAAAAAAGTGCTAAAACCATGGGAGAGTGACCAGGAATAAAAATACCTGTCGATATCATCTATTTTCTGCATGTTAAACAGCAGTGAAGGTACAATCTTGTCCATGTGCTGAGGTTCCCATATAGTTGCTCGAAGTTCATCATTAACTGTTTTTCGAACCACTCCCTGAATGCCCCTGATTCCAGCAATCCGGATCCTAAGGAAGGAAAAAAAGGAATTAGTGAAAAGGAGAAACACAGCACCACCCCGTATGGCTGTTTCCCTTGTTGGCAATAGTAATTATATAGTGTGGACTTCCATTGGATTCTCACAAGCAGTAATATGGGGAAATTTGGCCAGTTCCTTAAGGTTGCCCATATTGCCTTCAAATGCCTTCAAAGCACAAACAACTAAACAGAAGATATCTGTAGAGGTAAGGATAATGCTGACACTGACCAATGAATATTCAAACTGTGAGCACCACCTCCAACAGAAGACAAGCGGGTAAAAATGTACCAACTCTACACAATTTACTACCCACCAGTTGAAATCGTGCACAATCTCAACCTATCCCAGTGCTGAAGAAAACTGGTGTGAAGTTACCACAGCACAGCTGAAGTAATATCTAGCACAGTCATGTGATCATGTCCTTAAGAGTTGTAATTAATGCTGTGGATTAATCATAGCCAAGTTTTAAAGATTTGTGCAAGATTCACAGGATAGAAAGCAAAGGATAACGCTATCAAATGGAGCCTGATGCACAAAAGGGACTGCCACTTTTATTCTAAACCCATTTGAACAAAATTAACTGAGAACTGATCAACAACAATAAAACAAAAAAATAATATAAGTCCTAAAAAAAACTCAGCCACTCAGCCTTGCTGTTAGCTATTTTTGTTATTTTGTTAAAAATAGATGGTAGCAGAATCTATGCAATGAAATGAATGGCAAAATATTAATTTGTTGAAGTGGTAATAGCAAATTAGCCATTATAATAAATGGTAAGAATAGAATTTACTTACTGAAAACTGTCTAAAATGAAGTGGAAAAAAGTAATATTGCCATACACTTGGCTAACCTGAGTAAAAAATTGATTCACAGGGGATAAAAAGGCCACACTTGTGTACTGGAGTGCCACTAGCACTAATTTCATGTTCTTATTATTGTACCGGAGGTTGAAAAAATGAGGGTTGACTTACTGAGAAAGGTGTTAGCATCAAATTTCATCACAGTGCTCTAAAGAAAGCTTAGATAGGTATTTTAAAGCAGAGATTACATTTAAATCAAGGTCATGTACGGATTTATGTCACTAGAATGAAATTCCTCCCTCTCTAAGGGTACATCAACATTGCAAATTGCAGCACAGATAAGGTGCAGGTTGACAATCTGAAGAGCAAAAGATTAGCACAGTTCTCTTACTCCTACAGCAATCACAGTTTTGAGGTGTTTTAATTTTGGGGTAACCTTATGAGTGGTAAATCATACTTGATAGATGAATGAGGGATGTACTAGTCTCTTCATTCATTCCATGTCATAGTTCATTACTAGTATTACCTCCCATGTGCAAGGGGCAGTGAAGGTGAAAGTAGTACTAAAAAGCCTGAGCTGAGCTTCATATCCTATCCTCTATGAAATGTTTCATGGTAAGTAAGTAGTTTTAACATTTCTGTTTTAATTTCACTAAGCCTAAAAAGGCAAAATCCCCAAAAGCTCATTAAAACATTGATAAAAACTGTTTGCAACCATTAGCTTCAGGTAAATATTCTGTACCTGGCAGAAGCCTAAGTTATGAGGTAGTTTTAAGTAGATACAATGGCTTCACTACTGCAACCTGCTTACTAAGTTTCCATCCCCTTTGCCCATTGGTTCCTCAATACAATTCAGGTCTTCCCCATTGTAATTCATAAGGTCAGCCTGTAAAACCATTCTCTGGAATAATCCTCCTAAAGGGCAAAGGGGTGGGGTAAAAGTACAGGAGAAGCAAACAGATTTAATCCTAGCATTTTAGAGACACAGTTTACAGCAGAACCCTACACACCGCAATAGGGCAACAAATAAGGTGGCAGCAAATTACAGCAAATAAGGAATTAATTTTTTGGCTTGTGTTTGTTGGGGTTTTGTTTTCCTCCTAAGCAACGTACACAAGTATTCTTTTTGTTTGAAACTGCAAACTTTCAGACAAATCCTTATGTGTTGCAGTGACAACAGCACATCCAAAGGGTTAAATAAGTGTAAAGCAAATGGATTTTTCGTAGTCAGCTGAACAATTTAACACATGGAAATAGAAAAGATGAGTATAATGGAGATGCAAATAATAATAATCTGAAAAGCCTTAAGTTTTCTGAGATGCTCAGGAGTTAAATACAGCTGAACATTAAGAACACATCTGCTAGGGGGAGCTGAAGTAAAACCAATCATGGAGCTTACATAAGAGTGTCCAAATTTGTAATACTAACACGTGAAGGCATTTCAGCTTCAGACGGTCTCATACTGCAGACATCTATGAGAATTCAATTTTAATGAGTAATTCTCAAATAGTAGACTCAAAATATGCTTTTGCTATTCATATGAGTAGCCCCATTAATTTCTCAAAGGAGTTACGCAACTTGCACACACTTACAGTAATAAATAGAGCCTTTCTGGAGAGAAATTATTCAGGTAAAATTCCACTTAAAGATTCCAGGTTTAGCCACCTCAGATTTGAAATATTTGGTGCTATTTAAAATGTCAGACTCTTATTTTCTTCCCTATAGAATGAAATACTCCACTAAGTGTCACAAGAAAAGCTGTATTATAGAGCATATTAATGTGTTAAGCCAGTTTTCTTTAACACATACAGAATGGCACTTACTCAGTTTGTGTTTCTGGATCATGGTCACATGAATGACACATGGCACTGAATCGAGACACAAAGAAGTCGTAGCGCCTGTGATATGAAGGTGTGTCTTCCTCAATGTTGGCAAATTTGACAAACTGGAAAAGGAAATACATTAAGAAAACTTTCAGTACCATTTTCCCAAAAAAGCATAAAGAATACTAAGCTTCATTTAAGAAGTAACATAAAACATCACATTAGGAAAGAACATAGGTCTGACAATACTTAAATATTTCACTTCAGAGAAGAAAAAGTTCGGAGAGTTTTCCTTTTAAAGCCTTTCCATGGGAACTTCATTTAGATCATTAGGAAAGGGTGCAACTGCATGAACTACAGTGAGGGTGGTGAGGCACTGGAATGGATTGCCCAAGGAAGTTGTAAATGCTCCAACCCTGGAGGTGTTCAAGGCCAGGTTGGACAGAGCCCTGGGCAACAGTTCAGTGCGAGGTGTCCCTGCTCATGGCACGGGGGTTGGAACTAGATGATCTTAAGGTCCTTTCCAACCCAAACTATTCTATGATTCTATGGAATACAACATGCTATGCAATATGGAAAGATCTAACACCTCAATAGTGACTGTCATCAATTCACTGAATCACAGAATCATTTAGGTTAGAAAAGACCCTTAGGATCATCAAGTCCAACCCAGCACTGCCAAGTCCACCACTAAACTATGTCCCCGAGTGCCACATCTATGCATCTTTTAAATACCTCCAGGGATGGTGACTGCACCACTTCCCTGGGCAGCCTGTTCCAATGCTTGAAGTAATTTTTCCTAAGATCCACTCTAAACCTGCCTTGGCATAACTTGAGGACATTTCCTTGTGTCCTATCACTTGTTACTTGGGAGAAGAGACCAATCCCCACCTCACTACAACCTCTTCTCAGGTAGTTGTAGAGAGCAGCCCAAGAAATCAAAGAGTACACTGTCATCAGCAGGTTAACTAGCAACATTCTGACTTATAGAAATTGAAGGGAAATAAACTTGGAGGCATTCTGTCAATTCCATGTATCTTTACAAGAGGAAAAAAGGTGGAGTCAGGGAATTAGAACCCAGTCAACTTTAATTCCATTCACAGAAAGACATTTAAAAGAAAAATCACAGAAAGACATTTAAAAGAAAAATCCAATTTGCAAACATCTACAAAGTAATGAAGGAGTAAGTAACAGTCAACATGGATTTGTCAAGAACAAATCATATCAACCCACTCTAAATTATTCCTATGACAGGGAGATCAATTTTGTAAATCCAGATGAAGTAGCATCTGTCATATCTTAACTTTAGTGATGCTGTGACAAAAAATACACAAAATCCTAGAAGGGAAGCTAGAAAAACAGTGTCAAAAGAGCACTCCCTTAAGACAGATGCAAAAGGGTTTGGAACAGAATACAGACACACTTGTGAATCACCAAACTACAATAATGTATTGAGTGAACTTCTGAGGGGGCCTGTCTGAACACAGCAGGATTTGAGTTACACTAGAAACTTAGATGACACAGTGGGCTCATCAAATGTGTAAAGAACACTAAGCTGGCCAGAGCTGCAGGCACACTTGATGCCTGGTTCTTGACAAATTGGAAATAGGGCCTGAAAAATCAAGAAAGCAATTTAGGAATGGCAAATGTAAAATGTCATTCTAAGACAGCTGCACAAATACAAGCCAGACACAGCTGAATGCAGAAAAGAAACGTAGGGTTATAATAAGCTGCATATTCAACAGAAGTCAATGCCATTATAATGGCATGAAAAGGAAAACAATATATGGTGATACCTCTGTATCCATGATACCTATGAAGAAATTTTTGCTATCTAATTTGCACTAATAAGCCCTTAGATGAAGTACTGCATCCAGCTGAAGCATCACAGCTGAAGATGGTGATTAACTGATGCAGTCCTTCAAGTATTCAAGGGATGAACAAAGCTTTAGATAACCACCTTTTAAAACAGACCAAAAGACATTATCTAGTCTAGAGCTGCCTAAAAGGTATTAAGTCTTATAATGTACAGAAGACAGCTTTAAAATGAAAAGAAATAGATGTTTTCTTTGTCTAATTGCTATAGAAAAAGCAATGCTATAGAAAAAGGCTTACACTGAAGCAAAGGCTACCTAAGTGAGACATTAAAAACCCCTCCTTTCTAAAGCAAGCAGACTGCCTAAAGACCTTTTGGATTCTCGATCACTGACAGAACTACAGAGGGAATTATAAAGGGACAGGAAAGGTTGAACACAGTGCTGGTTCTGCCCTGAAGCAGAGAGCTTTTCCCCAACCAGTATTCTTCCTACCAATTGCTAAGCACAGGCTGAAGCATTTCTTCGGTAGAACCTGCTTTTGTCAGCATGTTACCCACATACAACTAGACGAATCCAAACCACTTCAGCATGATCCACAGCACACTGATTTGCAGGTAGTTTTCAAGCTGAAAGTGAAAGCTTTGTATTTCAGAAAAAAACAAAATGACAAACCCCACTTTTTCTACTTTTTTTTTTTTAGTCTTTTCTGTTTTTTATGTAGAACATTTATCCCTTTCAACAGCACCATCAGCTCACCCACTGCAAGCTACAAGCACAGCTGAAAATGATACAGTTCATAAAACTAAATTCTCAGCCATCACTGAAAAGGAAGCAAAGTTGTGTAATACTAGTCCATTTTACATGTCCTTCTGTAGAGAATACCCTGTACAGGCAGGTGGTAAGTGACATACACTCAAATCCCAACTCTGTATAGGCTAGTGCCACAGTGTGAAAGACAATCAGCACACAAACAGAAACCACGCGTTGTTTTCAATACAGTGGGTTATAAAAATGATCACTGACTTTTCAAGATGTCTTACATAGAATTTCACTGGTTTGTTTCACAGAATTATCAATTACAAAACAGAAATAGATTTTCCGAAGTTTTTTGAGGACAGGAACCTAGTTAGTCCTTACAATTCAATAAAGCACAAAGTCCAGGGGTAAAAAACACACAGTTCGATATGATCTTAGTATTTTCCAGGCACTCAAGTGTTCAAGTCTACAACTGATTCACTCAACAAACTTCCATAAAAGCATGTAAAAGAATAGAAGCAAAAAGTCTAAAGAACACAGAACACTACAGGAGTGGCTGTGAGAATATTAATTCCTCCAGCATTTAATACGAGCATATTAATATTTTCCAAAATCCAAAATTATTTGATTGACAGGATCTTCCAACATGAAAACTTAATCCAACTCTAATAACTGTTTTGCTAGAAGAAAGATTTACTGTACCAAGAAATTGCTTTGTAAAGATAAATGACAATTTTAGACAAATAAAGTGGCAGGGACACTCTCGCTCTGGACGTTTCCCCTGTATCAGGATGTAACCTTGTAGCAGGGAAGCAAGCACCCAGAAGTTACACCCCTCAAAATGGCACACACAGTAAAATGTCCAGAAAGGGCAAAATTTCTTTTATTTCCCCATGTATATAACAACACAATTTCAGCCACTGAACATGAAGCATTTCTGAAGCATACTTCAGGATTAGCGTTCAGATGAGTGAACATGTAGGCCATAGGAAAGCTTAATTGTAACAACAGTTTTGAGTCGCACTGTCATTCAACACAGTGTATAATTCCATTCCATTATAGAAATTTGTAGTCTTTTCAGTACACTTTAGCCTACAATTTCTCCTTGCTAAGCAGTGGTGCTCTGAAATTGTTCTTGTTGTTCAATAAATATTTTACTCCTAAGTACCTACAATATTTTCAACCATACTTCAAGTATAAAAGTTATTCAACCTAAAAAAGAACAAAACTCTTATGAAAGTCCAAGCACTTGCCTAGAATATACTTAAAAAGCTTTTAGAGATGTAAACATGTCATTCAGTCATAGTAAATGCCGGCAATCACCCACTGGTAATTTATGGCAGTTTTACCACTACAAGCATCTTCTATATTTGTACAATACTGAAGGTACAAAAAGGAACTGACACTGGTAATATCTAATTTCCATTCATTTTGAAGCCAGTAAAATTCAACCAGTATAAAAACCATAAAAATCTATCATGAAATAAAGAAGAAACATATTATCTATTCAGAAGATGTTTGTTCCAGACTCAAGAAAGCTGGATCATAGTACCAGGAAGACAGAGATTGTGTGAGTCCTCTCAGTAAATCATGCAAGTTCTTATATCAAATTTCTAAGGACATAATTTCTTATATGTATTTCTACTGCCTTATCAGTCTTATGTAGCAAGTACAGAAGGAGAAAAATCATAACTTTAAATGGGACCTGGATGTCTTTAAAGAAGGTCAGGTTTTTGCAGCAATCCAAGAACAAACAATCAGCATGCATCATATCTGAGTCCGAGTTATGGTATTTACAGTATCTCCCTAAAAAAAAAAAACAAAAACAAACAGTAGGCTGGATCTGAGCAGTATTTTTTGTTATATTTGAGCTCCCAGTCTGTCTTCCACAGACTGCATTTTTCACAGGTTTCAGATGAGGGAAAGGGAGTGCTGATACTGAGTTACCATCTTTTATAGATCAACTACTGTATTTCATTACTAGGAAAATATCACATAGGGAGATATGATATCCTATAAACAAAAGACTTATAAACTTCACAGTACAGCATTAATAAGTGTGTGAATACACATGTGCTTCACCCAAAAAATGCAAACAAGACAAACACTTCCACTTTTCTAAACAGAAAAGTTCCAAACACCAGATTTATACAGTAACTTTACAAGTACAGTACTAAAATGATCACAAATAATCCTACGATAAGGTTGTCAGCAATAGAAAGGTCAGCTGACACTTCTCATTTTGAGTTTTATCAGAATGGGATGAATAGTTTCTATCTTACTTCATGCCACTTGGATGACAATTATCCTGAATGCCACATATGCAGTTGTGTAACAAAGCCAGTAATGGTGCCTTGCCTCACAGGGCCATATAAGTGGGGCTATGAAACTGCAAAACCAGAGAGCATGAGGTGGGGAAAGCAATACATAACTGACCCTAACAGGAATGCTTTTTTTTTGACTTATTCAACATGACTTAAATTCTAGGAGATGCAGACATAGAATTAGGAAGATTAATTTAATAACCTAGAGGATGAGAAAGAATGTTGTGTGTACTTCTGTCACTCTGTGCCTTTAACTCTTATAGAAAAAGATAAAGCAGGGATCCTAGAGATTAAATAGTTCTATTGTGTATGTAATCACCACAAGTTGAGAGAGTTGGGGTTATTCAGCCTGGAGAACAGAATGCTCTGGAAAGACCTCAGAGCAGCTTCTCGTACCTAAAAAGGGCCTTGAATAGATAGGCCTTTGAGCAACCTAGTCTAGTGGAAGGTGTCCCTGCCCATGGCAAGGGGTTGGAACTGGATGAGCTTTAGGGTCCCTTCCAACCTAAACCATTTTTTGATTCTATGAATTCTATACTGGTCATAGAATGAAAGAAACATCTTTTAACAAAGATAACTTTCCATCACATACTTCTTGATTACCATACTGCAGACAAACAAGACAAATAAATATTCTACGGGGAATATTTATTCTGACATTCCTTAATTTCACAGTCTTGACATTTTCTACTATTTTTATATATACATGTAATTCTGCCAAAACCAACTGCTTTTATAAGCCAACACTAACAAATACAGAAATCTTGTTATATCACGCACTGCTCACTTCTCTGCTCAGGATACTGCTTGCCTTCTTTTAAATAAGAAATGATGGCAACCAGCAAAACCAGTCACCTTCTCATGCACAGGAAGCTCAACACTGTCACTGACGGTACCATTATTTTACTGCTCCTAGGAAGAAACTGCCCTTCTAAAAAAAAAGCACCCTATCAACTAACGCAAGCATTTATGGTAAATCATTTTAAATGTGGTACTACTGGATTCTATATATCTGCTATTTTTCAGATGAAAAAACAGTATTTTACCATCAAAATACAAAGCACAATTCACCCCATCAGCATTCCAAATTAGCTTAAAATGATTTGTATTTAACTGAGTTTTCTCAACATAGTTTAAGATGAAAGTTTTACTAAACCATAAATTCTATTGTTATTGACCAGCTGCTCACTAAAGACATTTCCTGGACCCTCCCCCCCAAAAAAAAATTGCCATAAAATTAAAAATATTAAAAAAAATATCTCTTGTCACAAAAATTTTAACAACGAGTACAAAGATTTTGAAGCTTTTCACCCCTGGACAGGAAGAACAAGCATAATCAATTCATTCTATTCTAGTAATATAACCACTATAGAACTAAGCCACACAATTACTGGTACATGAGACAGAGATGTTTTACATAATACTCGGTTACTTAAATTCTGCAAAACAGTTAGAGAGAGAAATTTAGTATTGCCATAAGTTCCTATGTAACTTATTGCCATCAGCCTTCAGATTTTTCAATACTGAAGCTAAGGAAATCTCACTTTTCCCCACCACATTTTTTCAGTTTCCTCACCAGCATATGCTTTCCTAGCACATGGTTAATAAAAATATCTTCTAAGATAGAAAAAGCCATTTTGAACTTCATAGACACTGCCAATTTGAAATCTGGTCTACATAAAAAAAAAGTAACACTGTTCAATCTATAATAGGTTGCCAAAGGAAGTGGTAAATGCTCCATCCCTGGCAGTGTTTAAGGCCAGGGTGGACAGAGCCTTGGGCGACATAGTTTAGTGTGGGGGGGAC